TGTGTGTGTGTGTGTGTGTGTGTGTGTGTGTGTGTGTGTGTGTGTGTATGAGAGAGGGAAAAAGAATTCTAACAAGTAGAGGAAACTTCATTTTTGGGTATGCCCCACTTCTCTCTCTCCGCCGTCATAAATATTTAATAAGTGCTTAGCCCATGCTCACTTTACTCTTAGCTTCATCCCTCACCCTTCACACTTCTCACCAGCAGCCTTGCTCCATGCAGGTATCTTCCCTCCCACCTGTCTATTCCTCACTCCCTCTTCTAGTTTTCTTTATGTGTTGTCTTTCCCCATTAGAAAGTGTGCTCCTCAAGGGTAGGGACTCTCTCGTTTACTTGATTTTGTTTCCCCAGTGCCTGGCACACATAGTAAGTGATTAATAAAAAAACAAAAACTCTTTATTTCTGTCTATGATGTTGGAGGTAGCTCTTACGTCAGCCCCCTTTCAGGTTCACCACGGGGACAAAATGAGGCCTTCTCAAGTCATTGAAGAGGTTTACTTTGCCCTAACACAGCAAGGATCTGCAACAAAGATGCAAAGGCAGTCAGCTTCTCTGAGTTCCTCCTTGTTCCTTTTGGAATGCATTGGGTCATTAGGGCAGGACATAGTAAAGAACATGGTGACTTACACATTCTTCAGAAATCCACCAAGAGGCCTAGACACCAAGAGGACTTTTTGTGCTCTTTGGTGACCAGAAAGCTGCCTTAGGGAAGTCAAGCTGATCAGGTCGCAGAGACATGTTTGTCTCCTTTTCTGGAGGTAAAGAAGGAAAGTGAAGGAATCTAGACCTATCCTATGGTGCTGGTGAAGGAAAAGAATCCGTATCAGGCAGACACTGGTAAATGTTATATTATATATGGTTTTCCAAAATCTAAGATAAATGTCAGTTTATGCTTCATTCTCCTCCCCTTCTTTAGTACAAATTCTAAGACAGAATGGTGTTTTGCTCCAAGAGTCCCATAATTTCAACCTGATTGGTGAGAATCAAATCCAGAAAAATCAGTATTCCTTATTAATTCCTTTACCTTTTGAAGGATAAAATTATCTTTAAAGAGAGTCAAGAAATTGTTAGCTGATTTGTTTGGGCAAAAGAGAACTACAGCAGAGATCTAGATAATTGAAGCTCCCATCATTATTATGTCTCTTTGCCCAGCTTATGATCTATATCCCAAAAACCTCGCTTATTTTGATGCCGGTGTTCTGTATTACGCTCTGTTGACACTATTATTTCTGCCTCGAAATGCTTTTTACTACCAACTGCTATTCCTCAGTTGCTTGCCAGAGTCTATCTTAACATACTCTGTTTCTCCATCTTGTTCCTTCCAGAGCCATATCCAAGGATGAGTCCCATCCCAGAAAGTCTCAGTGACACACACACACACACACACACAAAGTCAAATTTCCTCATCTCATTAAAATCTCTAGTTGTCCTTGCTTGATGTGTATTTTATACTTCCTATATAAATATCTGAATCATGGATTTTATTGCTGTCCCCTTTTTTAAACTGCGTCTCCTGTGAATTTTTGAACATCTTTACTGTTATTATCCTTCCTATGTTGTATCTACAATGCATTTTGTTTTGTTTAGTTTGGTGGATACACATTGGTGGTTTCCTACTCCTTCCCCTTCCTTTTCCATTTAGAAAAGAAGACGGGTATGCATGTTGTTCAGCATTTTTCCAAATGATTTTTACAAATATTTCTGTTTTGCTCCTTGTAGGTGGCAGATGTGTTTTTGGCATCCCAGTTCACAGCCTATGCCATCAGTGGTCCCACAGTGGATGATGACCTTCCTGTCTTCCGGTGGAAACTATTCAACCAGACTGTCCACCAGGGCCTGCCAGAAGCCTACAACTTTGATTTTGTCACCATGAAACCTGTTCTTAATACATTTTATAAATTTCACAAAGAAAAAAAGAAAAGGTGGGGAAAGCAAGTCAGAAGGAGGAAGAGAAGAAACTAAAGGGTTTTTAAAATACATATAAATATATTTTTTCATATCCTCACAAATAAAACAGGTTCATTTTCACTTTCATTGCTCATTGCTTTCATAATTAACAACAACAGCAATATGAATTGGGAGTCTTCTCTAGATAGCACTAAGTACTAGAGATAAAAAGAGAAGAATCCTGACCCTTTCAGGGATTTAAAATCCAGACTGAGAGATAAGGACACATTAAAAAGATTATCAATAATACAAGATAGTATATAGTAAGCAAAATTAAGCCATACATTTAATAAGTGCTCTAAGAGTTCTGAGTAGGAAATGTTATCTCTGAGGTCCTTAAGAAAGGTTTTATGCAACAAGTGGGCTGGGGCTTGAAGAAAAAGTAGGCCAGCTGGGAAGAAAGGGAGAAGGTATGAGCAAAAGCATGGGGGCAGCTAGATGGCTCAGCAGATAGAGTGCTGGGCCTGGAGTCAGGAAGACACAAGTTCAAATCTGGTCTCAGACATTTACTAGTCGTGTGACCTCACTCATCCCCTGTTTGCCTCTGGAAAAGGAAATATATATTTGCCATGGACAGTGTTGGTATGCTGTAGTCACAGAGTCAGATATGACTGAACAACCACAAATGAAAAAGCAAGAAGGGATCATGAGTAGCCTGGTTTGGCTGGAGTGGAAGATTTGCCCACCAGAAACAGAACAGGTGAAGATAAGGTTGGGAAGCATTGAGAGTGTGTAAGTGTTAGGAGAAGACTGGTCAATGAGAGCCCTCTGCCAACTCATGTACCAACTCATGGGGAATTTGGAGAAACCTGCCTCTGGAAATGAATGGTGGAAGGCCAGGGTGGATGTAAGAGGCTTGCACAGAGGAACTGGCTCTCCCCTGGTATCCAGAGAGGCAAGAACTGGTGTGGGCCCTCCAGTGAGAGAGAGGGAAGCCTTCCATTGGACCTTCCTGTCCACCTGGCAGCCACCTGACTAGGAATGGATGTTGCTACTATTTCTGTCGTGTTTCATTTTTGCCTGATCTCAAGCAAACGAACATCTGAGATAGAACGAATCACATTATGACCCTGTGAGCTTCAAAAGATCAGAGAAACCTTCCAAAGTCACCTGAGCAAGAATCAAAGCTAATAGCAGCAGTAGCCAAGCGCAGTGAGGAACCAGTTCTGCTAAGAGCTACCCACTTGACCCAACCCATTCATGATTCAACCTAATGTGATGGTGGGTGAGGTAGAAAGATATTTGCAAAGAGTTGTTTTAGAAAGGTCATTCTGGCAGTTATAGAGGATAAATGGAAGCAGAATGAGACTATACCTGCAGAGAGATCAGTTAGGAGATGCTTGTAGTGTTCTGGGCAGAAAGGCTCTTAAAGAGCCTAAAATAAAGGTATAGAGACAGGAATAGAGAAGATGAGAATTGGGGTGGGGATGGGGTAGGTAAGCAGTTATTGAGAATTCAAAGAACTGTCATATAAAAGGGGGATGAATTTGTTTTGTTTGGCCCTAGATGGCATAACCAGGACCAGTAAATTGAAGGTGTAGAGGGACAAATACAGGCTCAATGTACGCAAAAACTTCATAACAAATAGAGCTATGGAAAATTGGAATGGGATGTCTTAGAAGGAAATATCTAGTAGAAGTAACATATACTAAAGTCCTCAACAGTCTATTCTGTTGTTGTTGAGTAGTTTCAGTAATGTCTGACTCTTTGTGACCGTACTTGGTGTTTTCTTGGAAAAGATACTAGAGTGATTTGCTATTTCCTTCTCCAGGTCATTTTACAGATGAGGAAACGAAGGCAAACAGGGTTAAATGACTTGCCCAGGGTCACACAACTGGTAAATGTCTGAGGACAGATTTGAACTCAGGTCTTCCGTCAATCAGGGCTAGAGCTCTATTCACTGTACCACCTAGCTGCCCTAAGTATAGCCTCGTTTGCCCCAAAATGGTAAATTGGCTAAGGGGACTGAGATTCTTACAAGTGACATCCTGATGACTTCATGACAAAAGTCAGTGAATGAGGAGGCAAAGTCCCTCCCTCATGCTTGACACAAACTTATGACTGGTGCATATGCCTGGGACAAAACAGAGGCAGAGAAACTGCCCCCAGATAGATCGATGCTTTGTGCTGGATATCTCGTCCATGCTACAGCCAAGTAAAACACACTTTTGTTAATGGTTATGTGATCAACTAATGTCTCATTTCCTTCCAATTCCAAACCTGGACCACCAGATGAGCCAGAAGGCCCGCCCCACAACAATCTTCTATAAAGGGCTTTAAGCCAAGGCCAGTGACCACTAATCTAATACATTGCAATAGAAAATCTTTCTCAGAAATGGATTGGACAAGATATATGGCCACTAAAGTCCTTTCCAAATCCGAAATATGTGAGCAAGCATTTGACTGTAACAGGGTATGTGAAGGTAAATATTTGAGATAGGCTAGGGTAGAGGTATTGAGCCTCCAAATTAGGATGTCTGCAGTGAGAGTGTTGAGGAGTGCCCAGAAAAGAAGCATTCATAGAGGTAGGGGGAAAAAACAGACCTCCAGGGACTGGAGGGGCTTCTCCACTGGAGGAGCTTCAGAATTCCCGTCCAAAGTGATGGAAAAAATGTTAACAGTATAGATTAAACTGTATTGTGTGCTGGAGCCATGATAGCAGAGTAAAGTCAAGCTCTCCCAACATTCCCCTTGAAACAACTTTAAGATTATCAATCAAATTTATTATTATAAGATTATTATGAAATCAAGAGTTAAGGTCTAACCAAATTCTGGAGCAGTGGAGTCAACTAAAGGTCCGAATGAGACATTTTTCCAACCCAAGACAACTTAGGAGGTCAGTAGGAGAGGTCAGTGACACTGAAGTAAAGGCCAGCCCAGAGCACACAAGGCCGCAGCACCAGCTGTGGGCCGTGGAGGTGGCTACAACAGTAGGAGCTCTTCCTGGGGAAGGACCAGAGCACAGACCAAGAATGCAGTCACTACACTTCAACCCAGATCACAACACCTTGGAGCTATCCCAAACTTCCAAACCCTTAGAACTAACTTTTTTTTTCCCCAGGCAATTGAGGTTAAGTGACTTACCCAGGGTCACACAGTTAGTATCAAGTGTTTGGTCTGAGGCCAGATTTGAACTCAGGTCCTCCTGACTTCAGGGCCAGTGCTGTATCCACTGCGCCACCTAGCTGCCCCTAGAACTAACTCTAAAAACAGCAGTACTAAAAACACCCTGGGAACAAAGCCCAACTTTAACATAAAATTCAAAGACAAGAAATGAGCTAGGAAAATGAGCAAACAACAACAAAAAGCTGACTATAAAAAACTACTACAGTGATAGGGAAGATCAAGACAAAAGCTCAGAAGACAATAACGTAAAAAAACAGCCACAAGCAAAAAAAAAAAATGTTAATTTGACACAAGTCCAAAAAGAATTTTTTTAAAAAAATCAAATAAGAATGGTAGAGGAAAAATTGGGGGGAAATGTGAGAGTGATGCAAGAAAATTATGAGGGCAGCTAGGTGGCACAGTGGACAGAGCACTGTGTGGGAGTCAGGAGGACCTGAATTCAAATCCAATCTCAGACCAGACACTTGACACTTACTAGCTGTGTGACCCTGGGCAAGTCACTTAACCCCAATTGCCTCGCCAAAAAAAAAAATTATGAAAAGATAATAAATGGCTTGGTAAAAGAGGCACAAAAATACTAAAGAAAATAATATCTTAAAAAGCAAAATCGCCCAAATGGAAAAAGACGTACAAAAACTCAATGAAGAAAATAATTCCTTAAAAATTAGAATTGCTAAGTAGAAGTTAACGACTCTATGAATTATCAAGAAAATAAAACAAAGTCAAAAGGATGAAAAATATAAGAAAAAGCAAAATGTCTCATTGGAAAAACAACTGACGTGGAAAATAGAACCAGGAGAGACAATTATTGGACTACCTGAAAGCTACAATCAAAGAAGGAGCCTAGACATCATATTTCAAGAAATTATAAAGTAAAACTGCCCTGATATTCTAGAACCAGAGGGCAAAACTCCCAGGAATATAATAGTAAAATGCCAGAGCTCCTGGGTCAAAGAGAAAATACTTCAAGCAACCAGAAAGCAATCATTTAAATACCATGGAACCACAGTCAGGATTACAGAAGATTTAGCTACCATATTAAAGAGCAAAGGGTTGGAATTTGATATTACAGAGGGCAAAAGAGTTAGGATTACAACCAAGAACAACTTAGCTAGGAAAACTTAATACAATTCTTCGGGAGGGAAAATAGATATTTAATGAAATAAATGAATGAATAGAAAAACATTTCTGATAAAAAATACCATAGATGAATAGAAAATTTGACTTTCAATATAAGAATCAGGAAAAACATAAAGAAGTAAACATGAAAGAGAAATCATAAGGGAATCAATAAGGTTAAACTGTTTACATTCCTCTACGGGAAGATAATACATGTAACTCCTTATCATCATTAAGGCAGTTAGAAGGACTCTACATACACAGAGGGCATAAGAGTGAGTTGATTATGGTGGGATGATCTAAAAAAAGCGATGCAGAAAAAGCTTTTGTCAAAATACAATACCCACCTATTAAAAACATTAAAAAGCACTGGAATAAATGGAGCCTTTTTAAAAATGATAAATTGTGAGAGATTGTCTGATGTTGGCTACGTGCCATGTGGGGGTTGTGGCAAGATGGGGCAGGGACAAGATATTAGGAAGTAACCGGAGCATGTGCTCCTGAGGCAGGGGGCTGTGCCACGCAGGAATGGGACGGCAGAGAACAAGCTCCCTTTGTCTAGTCCTCCCCCTTTGTGCAGCGCTAACCCCAGATGCCTCCTTCTGGTATCTGGGCCTAGCTTCCTTTGTCACGTCCTCCCCCTTGGTGCAGTGCTAACCCCAGACATCCCCTTCCGGTATCTGATCCTACAATCATTCACTGGTAGGCGGGCTGAGGAGGAGGGGCTAGGAAGGTATATAGGGGCGGTAGGGGTCGGAGCTCGCTCTCTC